ATTATGTTTTAGAAGCTAATCATATGATTTGTATGAAACGGTTGTGGAAATTAAAATTAAATTAAATTAAAGTTCATTTATAACTTCACTACTTAAGTACAGGTTAAAGGTACTTACTTGTTTACTTTGTTGGGGCTCCTTGTCATGTTTCACATGTCTATGAGTTGCTTTTTCCCTCTAAATTTCCCTCTATCATTCTGTGCTTTTACTTCAGTAAGGTTTAGAAGGCAGCATAAGTTGTATAAAGTCTTTAGTGGCTCCAGAGGGAGCTACGTGAAGTCTGATGAATTAATAGCATCCGTTGTTGCTGAAGACTACAAGTTTTGAAAATGGAAAAAATCTGGAGGTGTGGCAAGTATCATAAAGTACAAGTACCTCACAACTGTACAGAAGTACTGAAGTAAATGAGTTCCTTCCATCATTGTGAATGAACATTTGAATGAATGAATATTTTTGTATTTTGTATCGACTGGAGCGAGTGCCACTTTCACAGCAGATCTTTGTCTTGAGGCATCAGGGAGCTCAATATAATACAATGCCCTCTGCATCATCTGCTGTGTGTCACAATTCTGGAGCCATGATGGGGGTATGCCCAGCCCCTTATGCCCACCTGAGGGGGTTACAGTTGGCAGCCAAGGCTCCTCACCTGACAGGCTTCCAGAGAGGAACCACTTGGCACTGCCAGCAGAAATAGCTTCTTCCTATTTGGGGGTCGGCCCCAGTCAAGATGAGGGAAGCTTGGCTCTTTAAGAATTGGGCCAATTCCCAGACACACCAGCAGCGCGTGCCACAGAGCCCTTTGATTCTGGGCTCCCAATCAGTCACTCTAAATAGGGCTCTGTGCTCTTTCCAATGGATAGACGGGGTTTCATTTTTATTAAACAGCTTGATATGCAATGTGTACATGCTGCATGATGTGTCTGTGTGTAGTTGAGTGGTGAGAACACAATGTCAGTTTTGGTAATGTTAGAGGAGGCCGGTCATACTGTAGTCTTGGTGTCATAGCATCATATTGTGTTTACAGTATTGAAGCAAGTCAGTTAATCAAAGAGTTGATTGTCAGAAAAAGAATTAGCCACCCTTTTGTTAACTGACATTCTCATTCAAGTTTTTCAAGGATTTACTTTGTGTTAGTTGATAGTAAACTCAATATATTTGGGGTTTTGCGTGTTGGTTGGATAAAATAACTGCAGACTTTGGGTTCTGGGATATTCTAATTATTATTATTTTTTTTACTATTTTCTAATATTTTACAGAATAAACAAGTGATCGATTAATCAGCAGATTAATGAATAAATGAAAATAATCTTTAGTTGCACCCTTACTTTTCTTTCTGAGTATCTCTGCCATGTCCCCTGCAATCTGTCAGTGTGATAGGAGAATAATAACCAAGAGCTTTTTGGCGTTTGGGTGTCTCCGAATTTGAATGCGTGCATATATTATACATATATAATGTGCAGTTGAGCGCATCCTTCCCGCAGGTGTGGCTGATTTCCTTTTGATGAAAGAAAAGCAAACTTATTAGCAGGTCCAGGTAACATCAGAGCAGCAGTTCCCGCCAGTGGCCGTGTGATTAAAATAATACAGAGCGAGTCTCGGGGAGCCGGTTAATGAAGGGACAGGCAGGCGGATGCCTTCACATCCTCCTCCTCTTCCTCCACCAAGTCGTAGCTACTGGAGCTCAGCCCGAACTGGGACAGCAGGTGGGGTGGAGCACGAATACCAGCACTCGCATAAATGCACGGACAAACTGCATTTGCATGTGTGGGAGCAGCTGAAGAAGAGACATACATGCTGTGCACTTTTTATGCTCAAAAATAAGCACAAAGTCATGAGCATGAATCCACAAGAAGACAGACAAATACAAGCATGCGAACAAACACACACACAACGAAAGAAAATGATGATGGTGAAGCAGTACCACAGGACCCACCCCCCCCCCCCTACACACACACACACACACACACACACACTAGTGTCTATCCAGGTGCCCTTGACTGGAGTTTACACCACAAAACTCATTTGCACACTTACTTCTGAGCAGATTGACTATTTAATAGAATAATGACCAGAAACAAAAGCACCGTAAATCAACAGTAAGCCAAAACAACAACAACAACAACAACAACAACACAAATCTTACGTTGCAGCCTCACCAAAGTCCTCAGTAACGCCCAAAATAAGCATTAAAAAGCTCTTCACAATACTGGTGATGGCTTTTGGTTACAGGCAGTCCCCATTCTCATGCCTGGCAATGGTCTTTTATGGCGAGGGACCTAATACAAGATTTCTGTTCTAGTGCAAACACAGTGGCCATGGGCACCAAGGAACAGCTGCCGTATAATTGAATTAACATTCGCCTTCTGCTTCGGCACTCAGCGCTGTGCTGAGAACTCATACACATCCCTGCACGAGCCCCATCAACCTGCCCATGAATATGCATGCTGCTTGTGATAAATATGCGTTCTGTGTTTAATGTTTGTGGAGCTGCATATATGCTGGATAAAGAGCTATACGCTGAGTATCTTGGGAGAGAGACGAGGACATACATCAAGTCCGCGGATCCTGTTTTTTTTGCGGGCCCTCTGAGGCTGAGAGCTGTGGCGTTGGTGGCGCTTCAGTGTAATTTAAAGTCTAACAGAGACATCTAGTGGATCATTGACTGAGGGACATGTTCATGTTTCAGTGCAGTAAATAGGCTACTACAGTCTTGTGCTAATAAGTCATAAAAATAGTTAACTTTCTTGCTCTTCAAAGATGAAATATTAAGGCCTGAATTGCACCTGTCAACCTACCACTGGCTATGTATGTTGGTTACATTTTTTTAAATAGTCAGCTGTTAAGAGTGATATCAACAACAGAAACAATAGTTTAAGAACCTTTTATTTCACTTTCAAAGTTAATTTTTCATATTTATGTTAATCTCTTTAAGCATGGGGCTCAAAGCCTGGCTTGTAAGGCCATGATGTAAATAAAATGGAGACATAGTTTAATGTAAAATCAACTAAGGACATGACAAAATTGCAGTAAAGCACGACATGTGAGTGCATTAGTTGTCTGTGGTGTAGTATATAAAACATATGAAAGTGTATTTTCTTGATAATGTTTTTGGTGGTGAGAGTTGTTTGCTAGCTTTATACAGTCCACCATCTCACTTTCTGTTTATCTTTTTCTCTCCATCACACACAAACTCACTCACTCACACACACTCATCTCATCACACTTTCATCGATAGAGCAGGTCACAGTGAAGAGTTCAGAAATGCACATGAAGTATTTTTTGGCAGTTTCTCTCACACAAACAGTCATTCAGTCATTACAGAGTGATTCAGACTAAACAAGGAAAGAAAGCATTAAACAAATAACAAATAATCTGTTCCATAGTAACCGTTACAAAACACCATGTTAAAAGTCTTTACATGTCATGAATACAGCTATGATTGTGATAATTGTTGGTGTAAGTCTTGTTAAATATTCATACAAGCAGTAGATGCTTGGGTTTTGTTGTTGTTTTCTGTCGATAGTCGTGGGCTGCAGGAATAAACTCACCATCGACTCCTTTGTTTTTGTTGTTTTCGTCACCCTCTGGATTCAGCCCCTTCAGACAGCTCTCCTGAAAAATAGTTGTGCTGTTTGTCATACTGACACAGCTGCATCCAGTGGCAGCAAGCATGCGCTCTATCCAAACAAGACAATGAAACCTTCAAGGCATCCTCTTTCATTTATGAAGTTTATAAAAACATCTTCAACCTTACTGATCTGCCAGTGAGTCATTACAAACTCGTGCTGTGCCGCCAAACATTGTTCAAACACACAGAACTTTATTTGAAATTCTAGTGGAACTAATCCTGCATTTGTTCAAAAACTACTTTTCATGCACAAAACATTGACTTGGAATTAATTACACAGAGGGAATTTATTTCTTGGAACTACGTTTGCGTTGCCTCGTAAAAAGATTTGCGTTCTCTTGCAATATTTGTTGCATTCCCCTGAGATATAGGAACAGTTAGTGTGTTGGCCACGTCCACTTATAATACACTGTCAGTTTATGGCTGCATTTGTGGTGGAATGTTTCATGCTAGCTAGGTAGATTTATTTTGTCACAATATAACAGGTTATAGAGGGAAATTGGACATCTTTCAAGGTTCCTGTCTGGTTAGAACAAATGCTCTTTTTGTTACAATCCTTCCACTGCAGCTCAACAGGGAAACACAAAGAGTGAAAGATGTCCACTTAATTTGACTTCATAACAGCTTCAGATGAACAAAATAACTTTTTTGCTTTGCATAAAACAAGGACTGTGGATTTTGTGCCAAATCACTTCCATTTAAAGTCAGGGGTCTGTACTTGTGTACGCCTTTCAAGTCTTACAACCACTCAAAGCGCTTTTACACTATGTCACATTCACACACCAGCAATTTGGTGTTGTGTATCTTGCCCAAAGAGAATTCGACATTCAGAATGGAGGAGCCGGGGGATTGGGCATCGAGAGTAGGCAACCCACTCTATATCCTGACCCACAGCTGCCCCTCAAGTGCATAAGGAAGTGATCTTTTGATGGCCAGAATTAACAGGAGGAACAATTAGCAATAAAAAAAACGGTTTTAGTTATGGGCACCTGACAGAAATTTTTAACCTATCCTTTAAAATGTGACCTTCAAAAATTCCCACAGCACAATAAGATGTCACCATATTTCTTGCTTTGCACCAACCACCAACAGTCGCTGGTGAACCAATCCTTTAGGAATTTTTTTGACATTTTGCAGACACAACAATTAACTGATTAATGGAAAACATAGTTGCAGCCCTTCAGTAGAACCTACACTTCATCAGAAACTCCCAGCTTTATAAACGCCTACATCTTCCAAATGTCACACCCTTACTGATCAGAGGAAAACTGTTAACGCAGACTGGTCTTTATGTGTAAAACCACCAGAGTGAACCTTTTCAATGTGTCACACACAGAGTTGTTGTAGGAAAAGAAGACAGGCAGACATGATCTGAGCCCTTTGAGTCCAGATTTATTGATACGGCTGTGCAGTCACAGAGCATGGTGGCAAACGCGGCCGCCTGGCCGGCATGGGACAGTGACACACACACATGCACATACATGCATACGCACACACACTCTCTTAGTCCTTCTGTCTATTCAGGGATGTAGGGGAGATTAAACCTGAGGTGGTTTACTACTGTACCTAGTTTGACTACCCGCCTTGTTTTTAATTGTATCACCCACTTTTTAGGCAGATAACAGTCTATAATTTGACCTTCATAATATTTCTATTACTGTTTTATATATGTAAACTTATTCAGTTGTATCAGCCTGATGGAGTATATAAAACAGAATGAGATTTTTAAAGTGTATTTTCTTGATAATGTTTTTGGTGGTGAGAGTTGGTTGCCAGCTTTATACAGTCCACCGTATCACTTTCTGTTTATCTTTCTCTCTCCATCACACACACACACACACACACACACACACACCTCATCACACTCTCATCGATAGAGCAGGTCACAGTGAAGAGATCAGAAATGCACATTAAGTATTTTTCGGCAGTTTCTCACACACAAACAGGCTTTACATCCGTCTAACCTCAGTCACTACAACAGTTTGGGATCAGTCATTACAGAGTGATTCAGACTAAACAAGGAAAGAAAGCATTAAACAAACAACAAATAATCTGTTCCATAGCAACCATTACAAAACACCATGTTTAGAAGTCTTTACATGTCATGAGTACAGCTATGATTCTGATTATGGTTGGTGTAGGTCTTGTTAAATATTCATACATTAGGCTATCACAGTAGCAAGTGAAAGACAGAGCACACTACAAGACTGTACATGTGTTGGTCCCTTGGTATAGAAAATTTATTCTGCTTTACCAAGTATCAGGGAGGCTATTTCGAGGGCGCAATGAGTTGTTGTTCTGCTTATAAATCTAATTTGCTATGATTTTTACACTTTCATTCTACAGTTTTGAGCAACTGTAATTTTTCTGACTTCAGAGCTGGTGGAATAAAACAGACACATATTGAACAGACAGATGCACCAAGACAAATATTACCAGAGAGGGAAGACAAAATTAAAAATTAATATTACATGTTGAAAACGTACTTTTTGACAATCCATCCTCTGAGTAAAAAAAAAAAAAGGAGTGAACGGTAAGTAAAACAAAAAAGCCATACAGCTATAAAATAGATTTTTCTAAATGAAAAAGAGCAAAATCTACATTAATACTATACTTCTGCAACATCAAACTGCTGACTTTACAGGCAAACTTTCCAACAGTATCTAAACTAAATGTCTTTACTCAAGACTCTTTAGTGTGGATTATTGGAGGAAGATATTGACTGGCTTGTTTTACTGCACCTGGATCAGCACAGATTCAAATGACATCGCACAATTTGAGGTTCCTACAGGTGAAAGGTGTCAAATAGAAAGTACAGATATAGGCACACATTCAGCCAGCTGGCTTGCTAACCACTGACTGTGTTTTCTAGGTAGAAAGTAGCACGTGGTTACATAGCATGATAAACTGCTTTATATCTCAGCACGATACTAAAGTTCCTATGTAATATCAAAATGGGGAGCGTGTATTAAAACAGAGAGGCTAAAAAAGAAATCAGAATTCCTGCATTTTTTATGTAAATGTTTAGGTGTTAAATTATATTCCCTTTTATGAACCCCATATATACTATATTTAGCAGGATACACATGTACAGTATACTATAAAATTTGAGGTTAGAATATGCTTGAACTTATTCTTGGCACAATCAATTTTATGATTTTCATGCCAAAACATAAAGAAAAATAAAGTAAAAGTGCACAATGTTTGTGAAAACATATCATTATGCAAATACTGCCAAAATGCTTTTCTTCCAATTACACATCTTAAGTATAGAGTAAAAGCTGAACCAGTCTTGCAGGGGTTCAATATGTTACATATGCGCAGTAAGCAATATTTGCATCTCCTATTCACAACATCACAAGCTTGAAAAACCTGGCAAACAACCAAGAAGCAGATACAGTTTGGACTCATAGCCTCGGACGCATCACAAAAGCATGATGGATTCAACTGGCTAATAGGTGTGTGAGCACACTGTAAACACATTGATTAAACATTACACCAACAACCTCATAGTTGAAGCTGCTGTAACATGACCGTACTGCAAAATAAAATAACATACACATACACGTTTTTTCTCTAATTCAGCGACAATGTTGACTTTTTGCTACAGCTTAAATACATATAAGAAGGCATCGAGAAGAAGTCTTTTGACAAAGAAATGACTTACAGTGTGAGAATTTTACACACATCTAGTGCATGATTCATACAGGACATAACAGATGCAAAACAAATAAGAAAAGATTGTTTATATATTACAAAAACTTGAATGCATTCATGTGTGTGTGATATGTTTGAAATGTAAAAGTTGCATTCTAATTCTTGAACATTTTTCACTACATATCTTACATTATATCCAAAATAATATCCGTTGCTGGATTCATAGGATTTCTTTTGCTTCTCAGATCCATACATATACAAACTTTCAATATGTACATTAAAGAGGACAAAAAAACACAAAAAAAACAATATAAACCTGGCTGCAAGGAAACTGTTTGAATTGCACGATGTCTGAGGAAAGCACTAAGAAAGTAAACAAGGGGGAAAACATTAGCCACAACTGGTGGTAAACAGTTTTTTCGTAGTAGCTTCAACAAACATAAGAGACTTCCAACAGGAGTTAAGTTTTCTAGATAGTGTGTATTTGTGTGTACTTTCTAGTAAAATAGTAGTGCTATAGACTGCGAATTTACCCCAGTGTACTGTACACATACTCACACATACATATACATACTGTGTAGCAGTTACTAAGTCCCTCTTAATGTACATCTATTCTGCATTATTCAGTCAAGTAAAGTGCTGTGACACAAACTTTGTCTCTGAATAAACTCCTTTTTTTTTAAACCAGACTTGTGTTGACAGAGAAGCATCACACAACAGTGAAAAGTGGGACATGTACAATGGCTGCGTGTCTGTGGCTGATTTAAACACACAACCTTGAGCAAAGCAAAACATTATTGGCAAACAGAAAAAAGTAACATTGTCAGTGGCAGTCTTCCTAAAGCCTCTCCTCGTCCCCAGCGGCGCTGCCATTATCTTAAGGTCATTAAATCTTCTTGTGTATCATCTTTATCGGTAAGCAGGAAGGGAGGAATAATGCACGTGGGTAGAGCCAAAAGCTCTGCATACAAGAGCGTGGGAGTATAAACATGGTTAAAACAGTAGATCGTTGAGACAAATAGGAAGTGAAGGTGTGAGTTACTTTGTGTCCTGTAGAGGGCGACACAGTCCAACTAATGGCCTTCCCTCTGTCATGAGTCTGATTTCTCCCATAAATGCAGGATGAGGTCGACAGCAGCTAAGATGTTAACAGTGTGGCAGTGATTCTCCACAGCTCACTTACTCCATCTCTACCTCTGCTGTGGGAAAACAAAAAAAGAACATTATTAATTTTGGTGAGATTATATGTCAACAAATTGACAAGGTATTGTGGGGAAATCTCCCTGGAGGATAAAAAAAAATGTTGTTTCATAATTTTCTGAGTCTGGTTCCCTGGTTCTCACGGATAATAAGTTGTCTTCCACTTTATCCTAAACAGTCTTTAATTGCAGGGGAAATTGTCTAAATCATATTTAAATCATGTACACACTGCAATAGCTTAAAATGTCAGGTACAGATATTTTGTATTCATCCTAAAGTACAGTAATATTTCCCTGCAGATGCTAAGCCCTAAATATCCTAAAGAAGTTTTAGGTAGCATACGTACTGGTTTAAAATTGAATAAGGTCATGAAATACACTTGGTAGATTCAAGTGTTCAACTATTCAACTATTATTTGGCCATTTCATTTATGTCAGTGAGTGTAGGCTAAATAATAGACACACAGTTCAGCTGCACCACAAAAAAATACAACAGAAACAGTTACAACACAAACTAAACATATGAAGGAGGATTTTCTGCAGGGCTATTGTATTAGACTATATTAGTTTTATCTCGGTGCTAGATGCTTGGGTTTTGTTGTTGTTTTTTGTCGATAGTCGTGGGCTGCAGGAATAAACTCACCATCGACTCCTTTGTTTTTGTTGTTTTCGTCACCCTCTGGAGATTCAGCCCCTTCAGACAGCTCTCCTGAAAAATAGTTGTTTTATTTGTCATACTGACACAGCTGCATCCAGTGGCAGCAAGCATGCGCTCTATCCAAACAAGACAATGAAACTTTCAAAGCATCCCCTTTCATTTATGAAGTTTATAAAAACATCTTCAACCCACGTGCTGTGCTGCCAAATATTGTTCAAACACACAGAACTTTATTTGAAATTCTAGTGGACTTTATCTTGCATTGATTCAAAACATAAAAAACTACTTTTCATGCACAAAAAATTGACAGGAATTAATTACACAGAGGGAATCGTTTTTTGGAACTACGTTTGCGTTGCCTCGTAATAAGGATTTGCGTTTTCTTGCAATATTTGTTGCATTCCCCTGAGATATAGATATAGGAACAGTTCATGGGTTGGCCACGTCCAGTTATAATACACGGTCAGTTTATGACTGCATTTGTGGTTGAATGTATGATTCTATTGTTATGGCTATTATATGCTGGCTGTACTGTGACTGCTTAAGTCACAGGGGGTTTGAACCTGTGGTGGAATACAGCACTCCAACAGCCAAAGCTATGTCATCACAATCACAGCGACTAACAGCCAAAGGTCTACTACATTATATATAATACTGGGTATAATACATAATGCAGTTCCCCTTTGGATCAGAAGGTATACAAAACATATTGCGAGGTTATGCAAAACGTAATACAAGGGAACACAAAAGTAGTTCTGAAAAAACTAATTCCCAACGTGACCTTTGCTCTGTATTTAATAAAAACTTGGTGTGGCATCTCATAATTAATTATCAGATAAAATAAAAGTGAATGGGTACTAAAGGTTGGGAAACAAATCAAAAAACTATGTAACTGATCATGATAAAAGGTTAAGACAGGATTATAGAAATGTTCACTGTAGCTGACTACTTTACTGACTGACAACATTACTACTTGACATGTTAGGATACTGTATGTATAGCACATTTAGAGAAACTGCCATATGTCACATCTCTTTTAAAGCAGAACATGCTATGTGATTACATGGTTAAAGGGATCTACCGTTCTGCAGTGGAGGATTCTTGAGTGTGGCGCTCCCAGGCTGTGCTTCCTGCTCTGTGTCCTCTGTGTTACCATCTGGTGGTCTGCTGGCCTCCTCTGACTCGGGTGCCTCCCCCTTCAATTGGTCCTCCTTTGGTTCAGGCTGTTCTGATTCTGTGTGGACGTCCTGGGGCTCCATAGCCTCTTCCTGCTGGGCTCGCTCCTCAGCTTCCTTTTTAGCTCTCTCCTCAGCCTCTGAGGTCACATAGAGTGTGGAGGCAGGTTAGCATGTGTGTGTGTGGGAGTGTGTGTCCATGTGCATTAATTCATCACTACTTAATTCTTACTTAAAGCCAGTAAAGGCAAAAGAGCTCTGTTTCAGACCAAAACTTACCTTAAATCTGCATTAACTGAGAATGTTGGCCACTTGGGGGCAGCAGAGATAAGTTACAAAAACATTTGACATTGGTAATGTCTATACTGTGTGTGTGTGTGTGTGTGTGTATATATATATACATATATGTAAGTAAGTAAGTATAGTACTTGGCTTATAAGTGATGTATAATTTTTTTAAACTGATTACAACTTTTAAACCAAATAAATATTAAAATAAAAACTGATGCACGTAGTCACTGTGTATGCCACAAAATCCCACAGTAATACAGGTCAGTCAATATCCCACTCTGAGTGCGCTAAGAGCATTACAACTTTATAAGCCAATTTTCCTGATTCTGGTGGATCTCATGATCTGTTCAGAGAGATCAGTTTTAGCAGGGCATTACCGTTCCCTGAGACTTCAAATCACCTCCATTTTCCTGTTTTATATTTCTGATTGTTTAGATGTGCCGTACCTTTACCGGCCTGTGCCTTCCACCTCTCTCTGTTTTGATAAACCTCTTCATTCCACAACGCCTTGAAGTTCTTTAGGTCCACCATCGGCAGAGAGCCTTGCCCCGACGAGCTGCTGTCGGACCCCATGCTCTTCACACTGTACCTTTTGGCCTCATCGGAGCTAATGCTGTTCAGACTGGACAGAAAGATGAGAGCGAAGAAGAGAATTAAAAGTCAAGCACAACTAGGAGTCTACAGACATATTAGCAGCCCTGTGCAGCTGTACTGACAGCACTGCTTTGAGCTAAATGCTAAAATGCTGATGCTTAGTAGGTATAATGTTTCCATGTTCACCATCTTAGCTTAGCATTTAAAAACAAAGTAAAGCTGAGGCTGATGCGAATTTCATTGGTTTTGCAGGTATTTTGGACAAAAAAAACCCATTCTTGATGACTGGATAAAGGAGCGCTCTTTCTATTTTACACATGAAGTTCAGCTTACTTGTCATTAAGAGTACTACTTCAATGCTGGGCTTCAGACTTAACATATTCACATAAAGTCTGCTTTACAAACTGAACTTAAAGAAGTGGATGTTTAGGCGACTGGGGTGTGATGAAAGATGCTGTCAAGTTGCACTATGGGAAATGTACAATCCAGGGTTTATTGAGCTTGACCCGAACTAGGGACTAAAAGTCTGAATACAAAGCCGCCTGCTGCTTCCATTTTGACCATTCTTCTTCAAATAAGTCACTGGCGAGTCCCAAAACAATATGGAAGTGCAAAACTAATTGCAGGGGTTCCCCTTTTAGGGATCACCGAAGTTATTCCAGTTCATCACGTGGGGTTTATTTCATGGCAATCAATCCAATGACTGTCAAGGTACTTCACTCCAAACAACAAATATCAATCTCATGGTGGTGCTAGAAGACAAGTCAAGGGATCACCAAAGTCATAATCCCTGTGGGGAAGTACAACATTTCCTGGCAATCCATCAAATAGTTGTTGAGATTTTCCTGTCTGGACCAAAGGGTTGCACTAACAAACTGGCAGACCAAGATTGCAATCCCCTTCCGAGTAGCTTGGCGAAAAAACCATGAGCTTTCAGATTCAGAAGCAGACTGAAAGAAGAATGAATGGAGGACAAGTAGATAACCAGAGGCAGAGAGAGGGAGCAGACATAGTTCCAGAGGATTGAAAGCAGCTATAAATACTGTGAGGAAACATTCAAAAGAAACCCATAAGCACCCAGGTGTGCATGCAGACAGGGAGACAAGAGGCAACACTATCTGAGATTTCCACTTGGTTAGCTCCGACTGGAGGCCCACTGAGTGATGCTAATGACTGCTGTTGAGGAGAACAGGGAGGCTGACATTGATGCGCAGGTGCAACGGAAGACACAGAGCCCGACTCTCCGAGTACTGCTTTACTTTCTAATGAGTCACTTTAAAAGACACAAATAACAGATCTTTACAGCATAAATGATCTTTCTCTGGATATTTTAAATATTAGTAATGCAAGAGCAGGTGGAATGTCCTTTCTTATTTGTTTGGTTTCAAAGCCCTGCACATACCTGATTAGATTTAGTACGTGGCTGGAAGAAAAGCACTACGGCCAATTAATTAAGCCAGTGGAGACAAAATCACTTCCTTTTGTCTGTCAAGAGGCTATTGTGTATACCAATCCAGCACTAAGGGCCATTCCTGATCAGGGGAGGCAAGGCGAACTTGACTAGCATCTCTAAAATATCAATTTCAAGGTGTGTGTCTCTGCCTGATGAAAGGTGGAGACACTTCCACGCACAGAAATTGATTACTCATGGAAGACTCATCTGCTGTTCGCAATACTTCCATTAGATATGCTGTTGAGGTTTAATTATGTTATTGAGCAAGCAGTTGGTCAGAAAGGTATGAGAGGCGAAGGGTAGAAAACAGTGAAATTTCCATTGTTGATAAACCAGGCTGGTTGATTAAAATGTACTTAAATTTGCATACAATCGCCCACTTCCATCTGCTCAGTCCTGCTACTGAGCATCTTCTAAGAATCCAAAGTTTTCATTTTCAAATTATCTCTCAGAGAAAGTGCTGCAGCTTACCTTGAGCGTCTAATGCCGGCAAAACCTGAATGGGAGGCCTCGTCGATGAGCGGCTTGATGATACGTTCCATCATGTCCGTCAGCACAGTGAAGGTGGGCACCACGATGAAGTCTATGAACCCTGTTGACAAAGAAAGAAAATCATGTAATTTTGTCCATGTTCGCGTTCCTTACTGAAGTGTTTGAATTGTTTAACAGAGGCCCTGAAGAATCACTGTGATACTGTAACATCATATAAAATGTCAAATCTTAGATACAGATAAAATTAAGTTCATAGGTATTAACACAACCAAGGACTAATGTTACATTTTGTCCTCTTGTCCCATGTCCCTCTCACTTTTCAAAATCCTATTTCTGTCCAGTTTCAGTTTGATTTATTCACTAAAATCTCTCTGTGTCATTAGACCGTCCAGCTGCCAAAATGCAGATGGAAGAAGCTCTGAGCTGATAAAAACATTGATGTGCTTATCTTGGTCGCTTCAATTATTACTGTGCGCTCACAGCTATTAAAAGGATAGGTTCAAAATTTAATTTTGTGAGTCTATTTTAAAACAATACTCACATACCTATACGTACATTAGAAATGTCCATGGCAATCCATCAAATAGCTGTTGAGATAATTCTGTCTGGACCAAAGGCGTGCACCAACAAACTGACAGACCAAAATTGCAATCTATTTGCGGGGGCGCTAGCTTGGCTAAAAAAACATGAGCTTTAAGATTCAGAGGCAGACTTATTGCCCCGGATTTGGGCTTTCAGGGGCTTTCAGGCACCATTATGCAGGTGGTGCTTGTAAGGATTGAGGAGCAACTCACCGATCTGGGACTGTGCCACCATTGTGGACTTTCGGTCGCAGAGTGGAGAGAACGGCAAGCCAAGCTCTGCTTCTTTGTCCCCCTGGAAATACAGCATCTTCCTCAGTCAAACACATTCTCAGAAACACACTCACAGTACACGTACACACCTCCAGCAAACACAAAATGCTCACACTTCTGTCAGCACATTTTGGATTTGTCTGCCCCCCACCCCAAGTGCTTTTGGGCAGCAAATGTGTTTCATTTTCTCTCCTGGTTTTTCACAGACAGACAAGATGTGGAGTCAGGAGGCAATGTTCTTTGGAGAAGCTATTTATCTGCAATTCTTATCCCGAGAGACAAGGCCTTGTGGAAGCGGCCACAATAACAATAGCACTGATAATGAGAACAATGTGGATTAATAATGGAAGAGATGAAAGCAATGTGGGATCAGTTAAATGCCTGTCCTTCATGTTGACATTTACAAATATTAAATTTATTTTAAAGCCACTAATATCATTATTATTTTATCTTGGTGTTAGATTGCAACTGTGTAAAGGAAAAATAAATTGCTTTTGTTGACGTCCAGATGACAACCAGTACAATCCTAAACACAAGAACCATTAGAGCGGCTAGAAGCAATTTAAGTGTACTATTTCGAGAAAAGATGAATCAACTCTACTTCAAATGTGTTTCATATTTGGCAATCCTAAGAAATCCACAGCTGGTCCAATAGAACATATATTTATCACATAGTAGGAAAAAGCACTGGTCATTTAAAGGCCAAGAATGAACCTTCTATTTCAACTTTTAAGCCAACATGGTCCAAAAGTCCTCAAAGTGATCAGAAAAAACAAACATTTTCAAGATCTAAAATTCCTTGACAACTGGGTGAAGTCCATCTGCTGAGGAAGATCATGTGACATGATCTAAAGCTGAAGAACAGCCACTAAATTGATTGTTTTGTCAACAACATAAGTCTGCATTTCGTTTTTGGTTTTCCAGTTCAAGGGCCTGTTTAATGGCATCGTTTACAGGGATCATTAATCTTTTTCTTTTAACCCCTACTTCCTGCCACAACAAGTCTTGTGTTTTTCAGAGGTGATGTATGGTTGTATTACATTGCATTTCTAATAATTAGTCTCCATATATATAAAGGGGTGGGCAAAATATTAGATTTATTATAAGGCTGTTGTATTAGACTGCAATAGTTCTAACTATGTGCTAACTATGTACCTAATAAACTGTAACTTAGTGTATATTGTATATTGAAATGCATGCTGTGTTCTCTCTAATCCACTCATGATTTACTCTGTGACCTACCAGATACACCCACTCACCTGTCTGAAGAATTCCTCCAGTAGGGAGGTAGTCCAGCGGTGGTGGAGGTCCCAGCTTTTGGCAGGGTGGCTGATGTCTGCTGTGTGCAGCAGCAGGGACAGGGCTTTGGGCTTGTCAATGCTGAAACACAATTTTTAAAAACTGAAGTCCACCACAGAGTATCATTCATTTGTTTTGTTGTTTTCTTAAAAGGGCCTGTACACTGAGCTTTTATGTGTTGAGTGTTGTTTTTCAGTGAATCACAATGTATGTGATTAGTTCTTTAAAATGAAGTTAAATGTGGGGTATACAATTCTAATCCAGTACATGTATTTTTGTCAAATTCAGCGAATATCTCCTCAGGTTCTGCTAGCTGTCCGTTCAGTGTGTGTGCAGAAAAAAAAAATCGAGTGTGTACACAGCCCTGGCTCTGTAAAGGAGAAACAAAGTGGCTCGGACCCCACCACACAACACTAATCCAGCCGCTCCAGCTATAATTTGTGTGTTACTTGACTTTCTGTGTGGTTGTTCACTCTATATCATGGTATTTGTGATGGTATCGGATTTCTCCAGAATCACATACTCACATTTAACTAGTAAAGTAAAAGTTCTAAAAAAAATCTCTACAAATTGTTTTACATTAAGTTTGAATTATAAAACAATAATCATTAAGCCCCCGAATAAGACACCTAAATCACTACAGGTGAGGTTGAATGGTTTTAGGAGGTACCTAACCTCTGCTTGGTCAATGTCCTGGCAAAACCAACATCATGAAGACAAACAGACATTCCAAATAAATAAATAATTAAAAGCACTGAGTGTCCCTGAAGACAAAGGGTCAATCATAAAAAGGAACAGCTGCAAATGTGTCTACAACAATCTGACCACAAAAATGAACTGTGCAAGAACAGCACATTGCAATATTAAAAAGTTCAAGAGAGTGGATATGTTTTTTTATTGTCCTATATATGCTCAGCATGGTACCAATACTGCCTAGTTTCTGGGTTTACACCAGGATAAAAATGTGCCCATTTGGAAATTGTAATGCAAATATAATTGTGACGGCTGTACTTCAATTTGGCTAACTCTGAATTCTGAAGCCTTGTGTTAGCTGTGACTTAAAATTGAATGCATTTTTACACAGCACAAGGACTGCAGACTTTGTCCCCCATCGCCTATATTCAGCTTCACAGCTGGTATTGAAAGGCGGAACACTTACAACAGCCAGAAACTATGTCAATTTGTCAATTATTTTAAGATAGACTTGAAAAAGGGTGAACCTATCCTTTAAGTGCAACATGCACACAAAGAATTTGAACTGGATAAAGTTACTAAGACATTACAAAAGTAAGCAGGCTGCAGGCTGCCTAATTGCAAAAGATGCATAGATATCAGACGATCAAAATATTTCATACTCTCAAAATATGTTATTGCCATGTCTGACTGCGATGGGGTTCATGAGTCTGTAGGTAGGATAATTTCTACTTCAAGGATAAGGCTGATATTCTATATTTTTCATACTGTCAACAAATCCCATAAAAAGACCAAAACCATCAATGTGTCTCTTGATACTTCCCTACCCCGTCTGTGGCCCCAAGCCCATTGGCTGCTATTAAAGACTTAAATCTTTATAACTCACTCATACATAGGAAGGCTTGATAATTTCTTCAAACTAATGTTACTCAAACAGGAGTAAACAGTGCATTTGTTAGGGACTATTTTCAGGGGTGGATTAACACACATTTGTTAGGGAGTGTTACGACAGCAGAGCGGTATGTGTGGGATTGACTCAAAATAAACTGCAGTGTTTGTGTTCATGGTAATAAAAAAACATGTCACCCTGAACAACAGTGTGGCTCGTTGATGTTTTTTTTTTTATAATTTGTGGGCAACAATGGAGCTCTATGGCACAGAGGACCAAACCTATTATTGTATTATTGTGATCAGTTCATTGCTTTTGGTCTTTGTTGGCAATAAGACATCCTTGTTGTGATGGCACAGATCAGATGGATGCACCCTCAAACTGTTAAGTGATGACAGAGCATGTACATGAACGCCCCCCCCTCCCACACAAACACACACACACATAGCCGCCTACAAACAGAGAAACACCTCCATCAAAAATAAATGTCCTTTTCATCAAACTGCCTCCATTAGGATAATCAGTTTCCTACACTGGAACATGATGTGAAGATACTTCATTTCACCTCATCAGACATCAGCGATGTCTGAGGTATCACCCGATAACCATATCAAAATATCATGTTTAATGGACTGATGCATTTAAATAGGCGCAAAAATGAAAACACACAGCACAAGGTTAAACAGAGGTGAGAGAGCCTCGCTCAAATTTCCCCTCATTCCATTTGTGGCAGATGGGTCTTGAAGTGCACTCTAAGCAGGCCTGGAGCACAGTGGTTTGAAATTACTTTACATTAGAGTCTATTCAGCATTACAGCTTCCTGCAGACGCAATCTCTCATTCATGTGCATGTGCGTGTGTGTGTGTGTGTGTGTGTACCACGTTCTGTAGCTTGATGATTACCTTCCAGTCAGCGAGTTTGAGGTATATTCACAAATATAGGAAGCATAATATTATTGATTCTTATGTTCCTGCATGTTCTCAGGAAAGTGCTTATCTCCATATCACTATTATTATTTTTTGCCATTTTGTAGTCATGTTGAGTGCAATGCATTGTCAAAGTGAAAAGAATACCCTGAGGGCCAACAAGGTTCTTACAGCCGTCTCAGTGTTGCCCCTACATCAGCAGTGGTGACTCATCACGTCATATGATAGGTTTGTTTGATAGCTCTCTTTTATTTCTGTTCGCAAACGGAACCTGGCTGAACTTTGACTTGGTGAATCTGAGAATATTGTAACTGGTCCGGTATTGTATATGATCGGTTTACATTTTAATTTGGGGGAGGTCCACTGTACAAAGTGAAACTCTCAAGGGGCCGCTACAACCTGCAAGGCAACGCTAACGTGATAGATGGAGACACAGAGGAAGGCGTCAGTAGGCTACTAATCAGAAAAGAAGCGGATTACACAACTATTGAAAAAATTGTTGTTGAAAAATGCCTAAAAACGTTGCCAGCAAAGGGAAACGCTGCGAACCTTGTTAAACAACCTGCCACGTTTCTTCACTCTTTCACCCACCACTGTTTACTTTTGACAAAGCACCTCATCACTGACTTGCAGCAAACCACCCATCCTCCAAACACAACTGCACTCATCAGATTTTGAAAACCAGATTAAGCATTCTGTCAGTACTTTCCAATTTCATGTAAAATTCTTTTATGTGTGGGTTTGTTACCCAGCAGAAGACTGCCACTAGCTCTTTTCAGAGCATCTGGCTGAAGAAGATAATGCAGAGGACAGAGCTCAGTGCCTTTTAGTAAAAACACAAGCACTTTCAGTAATAAATTCATAGTAAAATGAATCTATCTTTGCTAGCTTGGCAACTCTCTCTGTCACGTGACATTCGCCTAGGGGGCCGTGGCCGTCCCTCAATACCACCCTACTGCACAAGCGTGTGACTTCATGACCACTCCTGTCACATATGTGCAAAAATATTAATAAACAAAATGGAATACATGCTGGCCTCTGTACATAGTTTAATACATCTAGTGGTTTGTCTTTTTGGCGTGTATCATTGCAACAGCCTTTGAGATCTTCTTTAAATATGTGCATTTAGAAGATTTACTCTTATTGTTTATATTAATTGCTTCCCTTTTGCAGTCTCCTTTTTTGTTCCACACCATTGAGTTTGATTTAACTGTAGCTATATTTATTGCAATCTTAGGTCAAACTGTTTGTGTAATGTTATAATAATTTAACCACCCAGTAATATAACCCATATGAATGGTACTGCAATGCAGAGGGCATTCTCAATAAAATGAAATAGATTTGCCAATACTCAACAACTACAAGTGACTGTATGTGGTGGGGAAGTATTTATAGCTGCTATTTATGTTTGTAGGCACATCTTGCAGATTAGAAGCAGCCAAACAGGAGATCTGGCAAAAACAATATTACATAGTTTGTGTAACGATAAGGTTTTCTAGCTGGTCATCTTAGCTGTTGCAGTCTACAGTATAGCAGCAAACCTGCCAGCAATATTTCTACCACCGGCTGTTTTTCACCCAAGTGTGCAAATAAATTTCACCATGCCAAAGCTGGTGTGACTGCACTACAACTCTGCTGCAGACTTCCAGCACAGGAAAAACTCCTTACAAATGTATACATGAATTGCCTTATAATGGTCAATTAGGGGTCGAAGTGTTGAAGCCATTTTGCAGATTTGCCTTATTGATTCATAATTATGAAGGTTGAAGTTGAATTTAATGTATTCATTTTCTGATTGTCCTTCAATAAATAAAAAATGATAAATCATGACATTGAGAACATGAAAATGCACATAGATTTACTGACCGCTCCTAACACAAGCTATCATGTGTTTGTGCCTGAGTAATGCTGTAGTTACATCCTACTATGCATGACATCAGATCAGGTACTCATTGGCAACAAAATATGCACTCCATTTGTTTGTTGCGTTCCTCTTTGAGTACACCCCACAGGGCAGGGTTAATTGAGTTGTAAACAGTGGGTGGTTAGTAAACAGTGACCCCATGGCAGGGTTAATGAAGATGTAAATTGCTGGGATGAGGGCAGGGAGTGTTATCAGTAGTGAAAAAAGGCAACTGACCCCTCAGGTTGTTGTAGGAAGTTCTTCATGGCCTTAACCTGCTGAAAGTGGCAAGACATATCTGTCGCCAGCACCATCTCCACCACCAGAGCCCGCAGCTCTCTGGATGAAAACAAAGGAGAGACAAAAAAGGAGAGGAAAACATGAGCCATGTGCTGCATAATGAACTGTCAAACTTGTGGATAATAAAAGCCGACTTATTTCGGAAGTCGCTAAAGTAAATGAAGGCAGCCAACGCAGATTTTGAGAGCTATTTATAATATCTGCTTTGACAAGTCCCAGCTTATGCCACAAGAAATCAGATTGCAGCTGTCTCCTTTAACGTAATCTCACACATAACAGTTCCATTTTGTACAAAGTAGTTGGACATTGAAGGTAATCCAACATTTCTGGTTTTTACTCCACGTAGCACAGTTGTTAATCTTGAAAAATAAGACATAAGTTACTTTTGGACTTTGAAAAGGTCACGTGTGCATTGAGAAACTGTTGCATGACCTGTCTGGTTTCCACCTGTCATGTCTGCCTCTCTGGCTGTTCTCTATTACATGTCTGAGTTGTATTTCCCCTTGCTGTCACACCAGCTCTTTCATCTCTGTCTCTCTTTCTCTCATCGTCTCACTGACCTCCAGTCATCCTTGGAGAGGTTGTATAGGATGTTCATCTCGTCGTCGTCCTGCAGTAGGCGGTAGGCTGCGCTGACGTGGTGACTCTCCAACACTGAGCGGTCATTGTACAGGATAGCTGTGTCCGACCTGTCAAAGAGAAATAAAAAAAATGTCTCTCATCGGTCTAAATTGGAAAGAGAAATAATAGACCCCTAGATGTTGCTTCTTCTTCAATTTATCAATACAATGTATCACTTGAATGTGAATGTGATCAGTGCCAGTGCCAGTTGCTTATACGGTCTTGCACTTTGATCTGCTAAATGTAAGAATGTAATATAAGAATTCATGTTCTTTATATGGACTTTTGGACTTTTTTGGAATTTTAATTTTAACTGGAGACTCTTAAGGGACAAAATCTAACAGAAAACAACAAAAAAGGGGGAGAAAGAGCCCAAGATGGATTAACCTACTACTCTACCTAAATATATATATAAAGCAATATTCAGAATGTCAAAGATATATAGGCTCTACACAACATAAAGGTTCTAAATTTTTACTTAACATGCTTAAACCAAATGAGACAAAGCCCTCCATAACCCCCAGAGAGTTAATGAAAATTGGCCACTGATAGTAAGAAGTTTGTGAAGATCAAGATTAGATAACTATCTGGTTCAGTGAGAATAAAACTGAATTTGTTTTAAAATAAGACATGAAATAATCTAGAAAATCCCCTTTCTGAAAAGTATCATGTAGCGAAAAGTACACATCAGGACAACATTATTTATATAGAGTTTTAGAAGTTCTACCCAAAGGCATGGAGTTTGGAGTTAATTTGGAGTCCCGCCCTGCAGGCGATCTCAGTGTCAATGTACAGCCCCCTTGCTGTAAATGAATACATTGATCGGGTGACTCACTGCCATGCATTTTAGATTTTATGATCCATTACCTTGTCTGAATGTGGAAGTTGTTTGTGGTCCCCGTGTGCTCGTAGTCGTGCACAGCCGCCGCAAAGATCATGGCAAAGATCTCAAGCTCAGTCAACCAATGCTGGAGGCAAAGGAAGAGGAAAAGAAGAAGAGGAGGCGAGAGGGAAAAGATGGGATGTGAGGAAGGAGGGGGAGGTGAAGATGAGGAAGAGAAGGGGAATATCAAGATATAAAAGAGGGAAAGGTGTTATAGAGGGGAAGCCATGAGATGGAAAAGACAGAGACATCGACAGAAAAGAAGGAAAGAAAAGTAATGAAAACAAGAGGAAAGAATGGACAGAAATAAGAGAAGAGAAATGAGAAGCCAGTCAATGGAAAAGAGGGGAAAGCAGGTAATGGTTTATCACGTCATAAAGATGCAGAGGAGAAAAGTGATATAAAGGATGCAGAGAGAGGGATTTGGCACGAGGGATACATTAAAGTCAGGGATGAAAGGAAACAAATGGGAAGGAGAAGATAGAGGAAAGGTCAGCAAAGCAAAAAGGAATCTTTAGATAAGACAAGCTCTAGAGAGAATCACATTTTAAACTGTCGCTTTAACACTCCTCCTTACTCTTTCCCTTTCAGACAGTGTCTCAGTCTGGTTTGTCACTGTTACCAAATATAAATGAAAAAGTCATGCACTATTTAATTTTAATACCAGTTAACGCTGTCACAAGGTGGGAATACACATCATGTTTTACTATTGAAGTTTTTTTTAGGTCAAGTTTAAACCTTTATGGGAATGAATTGTGAGTACAGCAAAGAAATGACGTGAAACTAGCAGCAACTCTTCAAGGAACATCTTGACATTTTGGGAAATATGCTTATTGTTTTTTTTTCTGTAAATGTTCAATACTACTCTCATGTCTGCTTGGTAAATAACAGCTACAGACGGTAGCCGGTTACTTTTCTTTAGCACAAAGCTGTGTGTGGATGTCACACATACACTACATTAAGCTGGAGTGGAGCCATTCAACATCGACTATCAACTGTGTGTAGTAATTATATTATATATAGGCATTATATTTGAATTAGGTCCAAATGTCGACCCATTTTTCCAAATAATCCTCTGCTGTTGCCATCATGTATTTTTCCCATCACCGTGTGAAGTTGGCCAAGCTCCACAGCCATAGCATGCAGCTAGCTCTAGGCTTTAGCACTGTTGGTGCTGGGCTGCTGGAGTACAAAGTCACCGGAAGATGATTTAGGCACGCGGGAAGAGAAATGTGCAGCCATCCAATGACGAGATTTGGATTAGTAATCCAAATCTTCAAAAAAAAGTCAATGGAATTTCACAATTTCGTTATAGTTATCTTAGTAGTAGAGTAGATTTAAAGTAGACATTAGTCACCTCTTTTCATATCGTATTTTGTGTTTGTCGTGGAAAGAAAAGGGAGTTGACAAATGACAGACACGAGTGTGGTATTGTTCCTCTCATCCAACGCTCAGCAAGAAAGTGAATATGCATATTTCCCATAAAATATTCAGTTAAAATAAAATTGTGTTTCATCATATGAGCGACACCCACATAACCCCCTGAATCCATAGATAAAGACGTCTATCACCAAAAGAACGTGAATAAAATGGACTGTTCCTGAGTGTGTGTGCATGTATGTGTTTTTATTTATGGCTGTTAGTGTTTAATCTGTGAGTGTATGCAGTATGCACACCTGTGAGTGGGCATTTCCTCTGAGATGTGCATGCATCTCAGTGCCCTTGTGTAAAAAGAGACAGGATTTAGATCAGGAGGGCCAGTTGATATTGGTGACTAATAAACAGTGGGGGTGGGAAAGTCACAAGGGGGCATTACTTAGGGGTGTGGGTGGGGGGCAAGATGGCCGAGTCATCCCTCACTATATTTCCTCATGGGGCCGGCTTTATGAACGACCAGTTGATTGTTTATTTAATGGAGTCTTGAGGGCCTGCAAAATGATAGATTCTCCTGCTCTCCCAGGAGCCCATGTTTCTAGAAGTAATGTGGTTTACTCCACAAGGCACTGCCCAAAGAAACACACCATGTCGACAGCTGTCGTAGCCACCTTATTAAGGTGATTAAATAAAAACACTGGAAGCGGGGGCAGCCGGCTGGTTTGCTGGTTGGGGACTTTGAACTCTGCTTTAGTGAGGCTAGTGCTTTTTCTTGGAATGAATGCGGCATCAGAAATGTCTTAAAGTCACACCAGTGGGAAGGAGTGAAATATAGGTCACCAGATGGAAAAAGAACAAAATCAAAATGAAATATGAAGAGTACAAATGAACAACATTTTGGCAAGAAGAGCGAGAACATTTGACCTTAAATGTTGAGACAATAAAGATTAATAAGTGCCACATTTTGACAGATATTATTAGAATAGTGGGTTGATGTTCTCAAACCTGCCCTGAGTAAGATTTGGATTAAATGGCGACTGGCTCATGGATTCACCAAGAAAAAAAAAAAAAATCCATATTTAGCAGCTGCAAGGCAGGCCAAGCTGCAATTAGGCGGGCATACAGCAGCTGACAGAGATGTTCTGAATACCATGTGGATAAAATGATCTTGTTTTCATAGACTAAGCTGTACTTCTACACCTACACAGTATGTTCAACTGGTTTCTGTAGATTTTTTCAACAGATAGGTGTACAGTCAATCCTACTCACCACCATGCCAGTCTTAAGTAGCAAGTAGTGGACAGTCTGTGTGACATCAGCAGCATGCATCAGGTTGTGGTAGGGGTTTTTATGTTTGCTGTATCCGACTTCTAGGGCCTCCACGAATGACACCACCGCAGAGATTGGGATCTGACGGCAGACAAAACAGCAAATGACTGCGAGGTGAAAAACACTGCAGACAGTGAGAAACATCTTAAAGCTATTTGGTGATTTGAATGATGAGCGCATACAATTTCAATGCGTGCACAGTCCCCTCAGCATTTGAAATTGATGTCATAAAAACATGGATCGTGAATCATTTAGTCTATTGCAGACTACGATTACATATTCATGTCGGCTTCATTGCCCGTGTCATTTACTCTCAGATGCTGTCACTTAAATTGGAGTGTCCTCCACTAGAAGACGCTGTGGAAAATGAGCTCCACCAGTATCAGATGAGATGTCCAACCCCCATCATTATGTGGTCATTGTTGAAATACAACAACACAATATAACACTTAAGAGACAAGATAAGTGAGTGCGCTCACTTCCATCAAATCAGGCATGACGAAGGGGAATTGTGAAGGTTGTTATGATCGCTACTGAATATTTTTAGTTTCTCCTTTCTTTAATGACACAAACAGAAGGCATAACAGTGACCAGTGGAGCGTTATATACATGTGGCTTTACCTTGAAACGGCTGATAAGGTCGTATCTTGTGAGTAACTCGTAGAATATGAACTTGAGTGCGTGCTCCCCGCTGGCCTCATTTAAGGCGAACACGTCAAACGACCACTTGTCAACATTCTGTGTAGGGAAGAAAAAGTTTAAATAATTGTGTGGTTCTCCTCAAAAAATGTATTTATTGTGTTCAGAAAATACAAAATCTGTTAAGATAGATGGTTCAGCAATGTCTTAGGAATACATCCAGGTATGTAAGTAAGACTTTGGCACGTGTGTATCTGTGTGTGTACAAAATTGTTTTTTCATATCTGTGTGCATCTGCATGGAAGTGTGTGCACATGTTAATACCTTAAGCACAGATATGACAGAAGGGGGGTAGCTGAGTCCCACCATATTGGAGGTGCGTCGGTACATCCTGTTTGGATGAGATAAAGACATCAAATGAAGCCCACCGCATGGGTGTAAACACCAGAGGTTACCACACCAGCCCCAAACCTCAGCCTGGGAGGATCCCCACCAAGACTCACTATAAACCTACACATTAACACAACTCAGTATGAAACTGTGCTGAAAAGGTTAAGTTGTGAAAGGGAACAGCATCTTTTTTTCCACATGCAAAAGGTTTAAGGCTTTGTCAAATATGTGGGACAGAATATAGATTAATTTAATTAATCTATATTCATAATTCATAATCAAAATGTAAAACAAGGTTTGTAATTCTCCATGAGATTAGTGGAGGAACTAGAGTCAGCTGGAAGGCAGCAAAGTTGGTATATGTTGCCCAACATCTCAAAAACACAGTGGTAGTACAACAAAATAGTTGCTTTACAACAGCTTCCATAAATGCAACTAAATATCAAGTTTCAAGGACATTGTTTCAAATTTAAAATGGACAGTGTATGCTTCAACGCTGTATTGTACCCCCCCTGCTTCACCTTTGAATTTCCATCCTCCCTTTCCCAATCTTTCTTCACTGTAAATATCTGACAACAGACTGTCTGTAAAAACAGATTAAGAAAGATTATAGCTTACATGTTTGAGGCTTACTGATTTGAACAAATGCATGTTGCATGTTAGTGTGTGATAAAGCACAGCCTTGGAGAGGGAACTGTTTGCACCTCTGAATGATTGTGTTTAGCCAGGCTTGCCAAGGCTGAGCTGATGTATGGTCGACTCAGGTGAGCGAGTCACTGTGCAGAGGATGCACACATTTTTCCAGCAGATTGAAAATTTAAAGGACCATACCAGCAATTCATTATTTTCTCTATTAATTGGTTGGTCTATAAAACATTTGAAAACTAGTGAAAAATATCTGTCACAATATCCTACATCACAATGTGATGAATTTAAACGTCTTATTTTGTTCAACCAATAGTCCAGAACTTTAGTAAAACAATTCTCTCATTAGAGAACAAAGAAACATTAAATATTTGGCTTTTTTACTTAAAAATGACTAAACTATTTATCACACATCTAAATAACACCTGATTACTCTCACAGCTCACTGTGCTGGATTACCTCTCTATATACCATTTTCATTTCGTTTCCATTACACATTCATTACACAATGCCAAACTAAGGATGTTGATAGCAGTGCCTTGAGTAATTCAGGGCTACACTACGTGGTAAAGATAAAACTTCAGTAGAGGAAAGATAAAGATGGTAATCAATATGGATTTAACATCAGTGACAACTTGCTGGTATGTGAATGTGGCTATGTGCATAACACATATACCTCTCAACAAATATACCAGCCTGGACGGCGTGGACGATGCTGCGAAAGCGAGGTTTCTCTTCATTGCGTCGCAGCATAAGGCCCATCTGGCGGGTGAAGGTGGATGCCAGCCAGTCCCGCACCTCTGAGGGCACTGACTCTGACTGGATGTCACTGAGCTCATCCTCTGTGTCTACCAAACGCCTGAGAGAAGGGAGGGATGTACGTTAAATGACAGACATACACTAAAAGGGAAAATAGACAGATGCAGAGGCTTACCAAAATATTTTTATTATTTATCGTAGCTCTACTTTCAAAGGGGATCAAACTGAAATCCTAGTGCTGTCCATCAAATAATATCACCTCTTATGTAACATCAAAAACATCCCAGGCCTCTTGAAACACCGTGATGGACTTATTTGAATCCAATTGTATGATATAATTCCCCACAGCTACCATGTTGTGTTGACATATACAGGGGATCAAGAGAAAAGTCTGTTGGTTTCCACCCTCTGAACTCAATGCATGTTCTTAGGGCAAAGAGAAAGCATTCAGATCACACTGATAATCACAGTGCTACTTGTATTCTGCACTGGACAGTTCATCATCCTCCATCCTAGAGTGGTCATGCTGGCCCTAATCTGGTGGGATCTAGATGATGAGAGGCTTACATAATTCCATAAGCCAGGTCATATCTCGGATCTTGGCCCCGCATTCAACTGTTGACATACATCGACCTAGTATATTCCCTAACCTTAACCATGCTGACTTTACATACCATTATTTGCCACATAAACATCATATTTAGTAGTGGAAGCAGTATTTAAGCACATTTACATTTATTCATTTAGCTGACGCTTTTATCCAAAGCGACTTACAATTGCTATTAATGTCAGAGGTCGCACACCTCTGGAGCAACTAGGGTTTAATTTTCTTGCTCAGGCAATTGGAGGACTTGTCACAGTGGGGAATTGAACACGGGTCTCTCACACCTAAGGCAAGCTTCTTATCCACTGCCCCATCACCACCCTGGAAGGTAATTTGATTAAGTAAAAGCAATAACACACTGTAAATAATATAGTCTTGCATTTAAATGTTACTACAGTAAAAGCAAAGAAGTAGGTCAGTGTTACATTATTATATTAATGACGCTTTAACATTGGAGCAGTATTTAAATGTCATAGTTGTTTAAGGAGTTAATTTTATTTGCTTCATATACTGTGTGGTAGTTTAATCTGCATCATATTTTATAAACTGATTATATGTTTTGTTTGTGTGAAAAGTACAATATTTTAAAAAGTAAAATACATTGAAAAAAATAGTTTCTTAACTGCTTTTGGAAAAGTAGGAACTATGTGATTCCCTCTGCTTCTTGCCCCTTTCTTTCCTCCTCCTTTTCACTCTTCTCTATATTTTTTAAATTATTTTGTAAGTTTAAGTGTAAGTAAGCACAGTACTAAAATTTAATACATTTACCTAAGTACTTCAGAATTGGGGAAAGGTTAGCACCTTCTATACAAGTTTTAAATTTAGTTTATTGTCATATTGGTGTGAGCCTCTGTAACAAAGCAAAGAGATGAAATGGTTAAAATTAAATAACAATTACAGCACAGGTCAACTGCCATTCTAATGAATTCTATTTTCCAAAGTCTGGCCTTTGTCAGTGTTGTGCTGTTGTTCTCAATAAATTAACCAGGTCAATATATTTTCCACTGTAGAAAGCTACTGTTTCTTACCTTGTCTCCTCAATGTAAACGGATTCCAGCACCGATGCGGCATACTCAAGGTTTTTCTTGAGGTCAGTGAGGGAAGCCTCTCCTCTCTCCAGTTGTTTCACCAGACATCTTAATCTAAAACAGAGATTCAACAGTCATTTAACAAATAGGATTACTCCCCTGCCATCTTGGCATGATGAATTGATTGCAAATGATATTGGATCAATCAGGCATTAGTTCCTGCTGCACAATAGGCAACATTGTTTTTCTGTGAAAATAGACTTGGTCTGAATCACAAAGTGGGACAGCAGTAGACAGCAAAATAACATTTGATCAATAAGCTGAATTTAATTGTAGTCTTGGATTTCCACTACACACATCCACAGAAAAGTACAAACCGGCCTTTTCAACTTTCAATATATTTAATAAACACTGCTTTAAAAAACAAATCACTACTGACCAAAACATAGGGTCAGAGCTGGACATATTGTCTCCTCCCAACATATCTGTTGTCATGTTGTGTATTGATTAGCATAAGTAAAATATTATCCAGTTGGCTTTTCTCATAAGAGACATTGTGACTTGTCAAACACAGGGGTAATTAATAACATTTATAATGGCTGCATTTTTATCTACATGTGTCAGCTGCAGGGCTCTGGTATTGTGCATGCTGGCTCACTACTAGAACATTTAATTGGAATGACGCCATCGTTAACATTATTAGTTCCACCTGTGCTTTCCTTGCTATGACAAACCGAAGTGTCTGCTGTGTGAAAGGTCTAACTCATTCTAAAAATTGCAGATCTTTGATGTCTGCTGCCTCCGATTAGACTCATTTGCATGTATTGGCTATTTAAAATTAAAACAGCTTAAATATTGCAGTTGTAGTTGCTGCTGCTACGTGGCTTCAGACACAACCCCATTTTATTAGGTTTCAGGCATAACTGGGTCTGTGTCACCTGTTTTGGCCTTGAATGGATTCTATTTTTGTAATCTTGAGCTCTCCAACAGTAATATGCAAAGACATAAAATTGCTTTATAAAGTTATAGTAGCTTTCATGGTGGCAGGCATTTGTAAGCAATTGCTGGTTTTATGTGTGGCATTATCAAATAAATCCCCTTTACTGGTAATTACTACATATACCAGTTGAGTTTTTTAGTGGTGTATGTACAGTTGGGTAATTTTACATTGCAGTATAATAAGGAACTCTCCTAACATGTAAAATTGGTCATGTTGTGTAGGTTTAACTGAAAAATTATTCAGTCTTATGATATTGAATTGATACAACATCGCAAACCAGCTGGTAACAACTGAAACGATCAAATCATCTTCTCCGTGTTATATTTTTCAATACTAAATCACTTATGGCTGTAAAGCAATGTGTGTACAGTGTTAATCCAAATATTCCCAAGCCCTTGCAAAAGCCCACCAAAAACAGCATTAAAGAGAAAACCAACTTAACATCAATTTCTGCACACTGCAACCTCTTGCAGTATACCGCCTGCTGCTGTGCTGGAGGTCACACACTCCCTTTCACAGTGAATGCCTACAGAGGCTATGCTTGTTGTTGAATTATTAAGCACAAAGGTGGTGAGGGTAGGAGGTTTCAGGTGCTCTCATTGATCACATTCCCTGAAAGCAGCTGCAGTTTTTAGCACAAGCTCCAAAGATGATTGGGTAAAAATGTCTCAATATAAATATTCATGAATGTAGTTTGTCCCATTCATTTATGTTTTTTAGTTGGGGGTTGGGGCCTGAATGTATTCTGTGTACAGCAGTGAAACTCCACACGCTACTATATCACATAATTTTCTACACTCTATAACTTATCTTTTGAATGCTGAAAGAATCCCTCAAAAATAAACGGATAGTATGTAATCCAATCTGTTTCATTGGGCTGCAAGGCCTCAATTTGTACCACTGACATTCTTTCTGCTGTGCAAAAATATCAGATGGATATGCTGAAAATAATCTGGATCCACCTCTGCAAAAGAGCCACACAGTCGTTATTTTCATATTCATGCGAAAATGTCTGTTAGATGTGAAGAAAGGCCAATCCTCATGGAAAAGAGTTTTTGACTTCTATCACTCGCCCGTCTCACAGAACAGATACGCTTCCATTTTATCAAATATATCAACCCACACTGACTCCCAGAAACATGAGCCTTCCCTGGAACCCCTGCTTTGAGTATTTTTTCTCTGCCGCACTTACTGAAGTGTAATCTCCACAGACAGCTGTCTAAACCACACAAATCTCATATGTTTTGAACTTACTAATGGTATCTGTAATGGCTGATCAAGGCTCCCAGTGTCACTATGAGCTTTCTGGTTTTACTATAGGCACTAGTGAAGGGCAATGAAAATCAATAAATCAACAAATGTGTCAGTAGCAATTACGCGCTATATATCTTGCTTCTACTGGAACTAGATTCCCAAGTAAAAGTCTAAAGCCATGCTAGTGGCTCTGTGAGGTTGTACTACGTTGTAGAGCACAGTGTTGCTTTGAGCTAAATGCTAACATCAGCAATGCTACCCTGCTCAGAATAATATTGCTAGCATGTTGATGTTTTCAATGGAGCTGTAGATGGTGGCCCAGCACCAGGGGGCGATGGAGAGGGGTTATGGATGAACTGTACTCCATTAGGACAGAAAGGGTCAAGTCATGTTGATGTGTAGCAGCTATAATGTTTACTATCTTAGTTTACCACTAAACACAAAGTACAGCTGAGGCTGATGCGAAAGTAATAAACCAGTAGTAGTGGACCAGAAAATATGACCTGATGATGGCATGATGATGGTCCTTGTGCACATGCAGAAGATAATGGCGACCAACAGAAAAACAGCTCCATAGCGCTACTGGATGTATGAAGCTCCACAGGGAACCTTTAACTATGACAACAGTTGCTTCACTTGCTGATATCTTATACTTAAGCTAATGACGGCTATTTTAGGAATCATAAGGAAGTGAATGGATGAAGGGTAAGCTGCAACTCTAGAATCACTGCACATGTGATCTGCTTGGCACTAATGATTGTTATTAAGAACAGCTGTGTGCCTGATAATTCACAACAATAGAAAAAAAGCCTACCTCCTTCAACAAAGCTCTGTGTCAGACTATAATTTACTATACAATGTTGAAATATGTTCTGTTGGTCATTTGTTTTGACTTTACATCTTGAATAGCAATGGTGCTGGCACGTTGTGCTTGTTTGGAAAGCCCATCTTAAATGACCTTAGCACGTGTTAGTGAAAGAATTGATTGTCTCTAGTGAGTGGTTCTGTAAAAAATCTTTGTCACAGGCTCATTGCTTTTGTTTGTCTAACAATAGACAAAACTCAAAGCCCAATCAATTCTTGTACAATCAAAAGAAACCTCCTCCAGAAACCTCCTAACCAGGAGGCCTTTATAAGAATAAATACGTTTTCAAAGTGTTGAGATGAAAGAAAAAATTATTTAGAAAAACAAAGACTTTGTTCTTCTTTTCCTACATCCCTTAGCACACTGCAGTTTGCATGACAAATGTGAAAATACAACCATTCAAAAAAGAAGCCACTTGGGCTTCTTTTAACAACTATAAATAAAGACGTGATGATGAGTCAAGTGCCACAAAGTACAATAAATCAATGTATCTGCCAACCAAAACAAAATAGTCTCATTTCACCTGCTGTCATTACCAAGTGGGCCAACACGCTGGGTTAATAGCACAGGTCAGGCCCAAAGTAACTCCTGGGCACAGAGCCAACTGGGAAGTTGGAGCAGCCTTGTAATTTTCTATGGCTGGAAACTTTGTGGTGAGGCAGACAGCGAATATTCTCAGTTCCATTCACTCTCGATCCTTGGCAAAATAGCTTGGCCAAACATGTTGAATCACATTGATTAAAGTTGTTACTTACAAAACAAATATCCAAAAGATTAGTAAATAATAAAAAGCACAGACAGAGGATTAGGACATACTGTATATATACAGTACAGCATACAGGTTATAAATTAATAAATGTTTTATTATTGATTAATCTGTTGATTATTTTAACAGTTAATTGTTTAGCCTATAGAATGTCCAAAAATTCTTCAAATGTCTTGCCTTGTCCAACAAAAAGTCAAAAAATATAAAAGATATTCAATGTACAATGATATAAACAGAGAGAAGCAGTAAATTCTTACATTGGACAAGCTGGAACTGGCAAAGTTCTTGGCAAAGGTAAATTACTTAAACAATTTATCAGTTAAGGAAAAGTAATGTAGCAGTGATACTGTAGAGTAGCAAAAAGATTTAAATGTAAATACTGGCACTGGTGAGTGCAAAAAGAGAGGATATTAATATAAGTTTATAAAGAGAGTATTGCCTTGAAATAGATTTGCCAAACTACTAGCCTGAGAATATTGCCAATACATATAAATGAGATACAGTTGACAGTAGTGATAAATATGGTGAAGGCACTGAACTGAGTTGCAACTGTATGTGACTTCCAACATAAATACAGCACATAAGTTACAAACCAGGCTTAAAATGGAGCAAAAATATTGAACATACAGAAGCAGAGCAGAAAAGTGGTTTGCAGACACTTTGACTTTTTCTACAAAAAAAGGGTCACTATTGGAATCCTTTCTAACAAACAAAAACAAACAAAAATTCATGCTGATCACAGTTGCTGCCCCCCCTAACCCCCCCCAAAAAAAGATTACAATACACATTTTGTTTGATACAATAATAGCTGGGCCCTCTCCCTTAATCTACAACTAACCCTTTAATTTGTAAGAATAAAGAGTCTAAAGATAGAGGGTGTCATATATTGTGTACAGATTTCAAAGTCCTCTGAGATAAACTTGTGATTTTGGACTATAAACTTGTTGTAGCTGCACCAGATTACAAGCAACTCCTGTCTTTCTGTCTGAACAACCCTGTGTCATCAGCAAACCTAGGTAGTTTGACAGAGAGCTTATTGGAGTTGCAGAGGAGACAGCTCATAGACTACCCCACATTCAAAACAATCCTGGCACGTGTACTTGAGCTGTCGTGATGTGAGAAATACAGGTATAGTGACAAATTCAATATGTCCTTATTGACTTTTTCATATGTGAATGGATTAGGACGATATTCTTAAAGGTGTTTTAACTGCAGAGGTCAGAGTAACAGGACTTTTTAGGTAGTGAACTTACAACAGGATGAGAACCAAAAAGCAAATTGCTTGTGATTGGAAATATACACAGAATATGCACATTTGTTTGCTTTTTATTCCTTGTCAAATATCAGAGTTCAGGACTTTTTCAACTCTGCACTTTTGAACAGAATTGCAAATGGATCATCAATCAACATCCCCTGAACAACCCCTAAGTAAATCATTTTTTTGTATTTTTTCCCCCACTAAAATGACAAACTCCAATGGCCGCCAGGTTGAGCAGGCCAGTGACAGAGCGAGGTAAAAACATGAGCCTCCAGCTGTCTGCCTCTATATCTGAAGATGACAGATTTATTTGTTTTCCCTTATAGGGGTGAGCAGAGAGCACGGAGAGGAGATTAAAGATGGAATTCAGGTTGAGAGCATTTTCCTCCTCTATTCCTGTTGCCTCCAGTTCTTTGGCCTCGACTGACCTGCTCAGAGAGAAGAATGCGAAAGAAAATGAGACTACTGGAGTGTCAAACTAGAGCTGCCCTGCAGTGTACAGTGGGGCTTCACAATGCTCAACCTCTCGACAGCTGTTGTGGCAGTCATAAAATTAACGTGGGGAAAAAAAAGGAAATTAAACAACAGAGGGTAACGTAACAAGTTTTCTCCAACAGTTGCTTTGTCACTCAAGTAAAGAACTGGATACCCACTGGGAAAAAGAAATGTGTATCCCTTTGTGACCTAACTCATAATAAAAACAGGCCCATTTCTGTTTTGAGATGCTGCAGCTAGACTCAGAGCCTATTTTCCACACAGCAGAAAACAGGCGATAAATGGGGCTGATTGAGCAGAGGGGAATGAGAGCAGGATGCAAAATTTGGTTGTTGCCAATGACATTGCAGCCTAGACGGTGTGTAGTCAATGGCCCGGGGTCAATGTAATCATCCAGGGAGATTAGCTTGCTTTCAGGGAACACACAGGTTTTGGGGCTGATAAGCGGTACAAGGCCTGTAAAAACACGATGACTTCATTAAGCCATGGTACCACATATTCTGCAGGCTCAGCCATGATTTGCAACTGCAGCAGAGCAGCTCGTCAATAAAATGCAACATTTTGGCAAGACAGATGGGGAGAAGCTTGAATCTGAGGCATGGTTTAATCTGGAGTTAGCTTCTGACAAACATAAAACTGCTCAGTGATAGACCTTTTTCTATTGATTGTGGTGAATTTTTAATTGTACTCTACTTAATTAACCAAATGGTTTTCCTCACGAAATAGTTTTTTGAAGTGTACTATGATGTATTTGAATGATCACAGAGTGAAATGTTTAAGTAATCGTAACATCTTAGATTTATGTTTACTTTATTCTTCCTTATTATTACTTTTAAAGCATTTTTTTTTTTTTGCAATGCCTGCTTCACAGTAAACAGAATGTAAAAAAATTGGGACCCAAGTCACAATTGCAATTATTTTGATCATTGATGAATTGTTAATTATTAGTTAATTGTTATTATTAGTTATTGTGAGAATAAACTGAATAACTTTGGAGGGTTTCACTGCTGATCAAGAAAAACAACATTTTAGGACATCAACTTGGCGTCTACTGTATTAGGATGGTGTATTTTTTTCAGTTTTTCTGATGTTTTATAGACCAAATGATTGATGATGATAATAATAATAATGAAAAGGCATTTGAATGTTAAATAAATATATATATATATATTAAGTGAAAAAGCAACTGGACTTCTTGTTGTCTGTCTAGGCTTCTTGACATTCTTTCAAGAGTTTTAAGAATCTTAATAAACACAACATACAACAGTTTATTTGTTTAGCATTATTTGTAATGAGACAAGCTTTTAGTCTTACACAGTCAATGCTTTATTCCTGTGTGTCTTCTTGGTTCGTTTTTTTGTCAAGATAGCTTGCTATTCAACAGTCAACACTGAAATCTCAAATTTGAGACCCCCCATGACCACATTAATGTGCCATAGGTCAGCAGGAGAGTTGAATTGAATTAAATGTCATCATATTGTTCTAAAATTTGAATTAGAAGTTTTAGCAGTAGCAGATCAATACAAAAAAACCCATACAAAACAGTCTAGTCTAGTTTTACAGAAAAGCTAGCGCTGATGATAATACAGCAATGTGTTCCCTCTAGGCTTTTGATGAAAAAATATTCTAATTTGGAAAGAAAACTATTGAAAATTGTCTTTGGATTCAGAAGCATATCTGATACAGACAATAGAAGTCAGTGTCTTCTGTTAAAACACCCTTAAAGTCCTCCCTCCTCTCTTGATTCTGTGTTGCTGTGGAATGTGAGCTAAATGCCTAAATTGTATGTAAATACAAATGCTAATGTAACACCCACACTGAACGTTGGTGGCCATTCAATTTTGGGTGGGAACAACTACAGCATGCTCAGGCTGAATGTTTCTGCTGCTGCTGATGGCTCTAATTAAAATTACAAATGCTGTTGCAGTGCAAGCGAGATGCACTCTCTGAACAATATTGGTAACTCCTTAAAAAAGTTCTGATATCTGTTCTAAACAAAGCCTTTCCCGTGGGAGGTTGCAAATGACAGATGTGACAAGAATGGCGGGGGACAGAAGAAACCTTAAAAAAGATCAGTGGTTAGCTGAATGCAACCCACTCATGTCAAAGTCTGCCAATCAAATCCACAAGATGAAGTAGATAAAAAACCTTCAATAACGCTATGAGCACAAAATAAAAAAGAGAAAGAGCCAATCCTCTGGATCAAAACAGAAAGACTTCATGTCTTCAAAATAATTTTGATGCAAAACAAGATTTTAGATATTTAGTGATTAGACCCTTGTGTGTCTAATAGATATAGGATAGATATAATCAAATATTTACAAAAATGTGTATATATATATATATATATATATATATATATATATATATATATATTTGTACACACAAAAGTGAGTACACCCCTCACATTTTTGTAAATATTTGATTATATCTATCTTTTTGCTGTAATTTTGTAATCACTCTAAATGTGCACTAAAAATTACATGGTCAATTCGGACCCAGTTTGTTTATTTTGTTTATTTTTCTTGTTTTTATAATAATAATAATAATAATAATCTTTATTTGTAGAGCTCTTTTGAAAAACAAGTTACAAAATGCTTTAACAAGTGTAAAGACAATAATACCCAAAAGACAATAATACAAAAACAATACAAGATAAAAGCAAGAAAACATTGAAATGACTAAAATACATGTTTAAGATAAATATAAAATAAGTAAAATAGAATAAAATAAAGTCAAATAAGATCGGGAAAGGCTCTCCTATAAAAGTATGTTTTAAGAAGGGACTTAAAAGAGTTCACTGACTCAGCCGACCTGATTTCCTCGGGCAGGCTGTTCCAGAGCCTCGGGGCCCTGACAGCAAACGCTCTGTCCGAGGATCTCAAGGTACGTGCTGGTGCGTATGGGACTAAAAGGTCAGAAATATAACAAGGCGAGAGGCCATGAAGAGCTTTAAAAGTGATCAGTACAATTTTAAAGTCAATTCTAAAACATACTGGGAGCCAGTGTAATGAAGCTAAAATAGGGGTAATGTGGTCATATTTCTTTGTTCTGGTTACAAGCCTGGCAGCTGAGTTCTGGACAGTCTGGAGTCGATCAGTAGATGTTTGGGTTAAACAAGTGAAAAGGCTGTTGCAATAATCCAGGCGTGATGAGATGAAGGTGTGTAAAATGGTCTTGGTGTCCTTAAAAGTTAACATAGATCGAATTTTTGCTATATTTCTAAGTTGATAAAAACATTATTGAACAAGCTTTGTGGTGTGCTGCTTTTTAAATGTCACTTCTATAGGCTCAACGCAGGCTTTTTGTGAAACTGACCATCATGCCTCATTATATTCAACACCAGAGAATGAATAATTTTAGCTTCAGGAAAATTAATCCAACTGAAGTATTATCTGTTATCACCAATTTAAAGTTTAACAAAGGTCCAGGTTTGGATGGACTGGAAGTAAAATTTATTAAATGGGCTGCTCATATATTGATGTACGCTCTAGCAGACCTATTTAACCTTTCTTTGTCTACTAGTGAAATACCATATCTTTGGAAATTTGCAAAAGTGATTCCCTTACATAAAAGCGGCAATTCTCTTGACCTTAATAATTATAGACCCATTTCTACCATCTATACAATTGCAAACATTTTTTGAAAAATTAATATACACTCAACTATTCTATTAGGTTACAGAACATGACATACTATCATCCTTTCAATCTGGTTTCAGACTCAATCATTCCACTACTACAGCCCTATTGAAAATTACTAATGACATATCCTATTCTGCTGACCAAGGCAAATTAACAGGTGCAATTTTTATTGAAATATCCAAGGCTTTTGACTTGGTGGATCATCATATATTACTGCACAAATTAGAAACCATTGAACTAACTAAGAATACACTGGCAGTGCGCGTTTATTGAAAGGCATCAGTCTGATCTTTTTAATATCAAGCAAGGGGTTCCACAAGGTTCTATAATGGGTCCCCTTCTTTTTTCTATTTTTATTAATGAACTCCCATCATTACTTAAAACTTCGAATATCCATTTATATGCAGATGATACAGTAATCTGTATCACTACTCACTGTTTGTGCTAAATATCTGGGGCTATGGATTGACTCTGAATTATCATATAGAAAGCATATTGATTATATATGTAACAAGACTGGCCGTTCTATTGGGGTTCTGTACAGATCAACTGTTTCACCATGAATGTAAAAAAAAAAAGGCTGGTATCTCAGTTGTTATTGACTGTTATCGATTATCGAGATGTGTATCAAAATGATTCAAGAATTGATCTGATAAAAGTTTGTGTTAAATTGAATAGTTTGTGCAGATTTATTCTTAATTGTCACTTTCAAACCCACCACTGTGTAATGTACAATCAACTGCAGTGGCTTTCTCCCGATAATAGACGACAGTTACACTGGTATCAGTTTCTTTACAAATGTATTAATTAATTAAAAAGTGACTGGAACAATCTGCCAACTTTCTTGACATCTCTGCAGTATCTTGGTTCATTTAAAAATGCTCTTATTATTCACCTTACAACAGACTGATCCTGTTAATTATTCTTAATTATTTTTACTTACTGTTATACTGTACTGTTTTACTATTAATGTTGGTGTCTAGATTTTGTGACATGTGCATGGTACATGAGTGAGTGTTTTTTTCTTTCTATTTTTGTAATCTTAAAGTGTTTACTATTGTAAGTTTGTTTGATGTTTGCTGTATATTGTGTAGTCTATATTATTGTATGTTTTTGGTCAGGACCCCCTTGAAAACGAGATGGTACATCTCAAGGTGTTTTTATCCTAGAAATAAATTTAAAATTAATTAAATTATAAGCAACAGTAATACAAAAAAAATAACATTGGATCAAAACATCCCATTGTCTTGGGTGGTTTTCTACTCTTGGAAGTTAACCCAGTATTGCATTGGTTCTGTTTTGACACAAATTGGGTAAATGTTGCAGATACAAATAATCACTGTATACTAATAATGTTCAGAGATTGCTAAAACATCAAACTGTGTAGTACGCACAGAAAACAGGGACAACATGCCAGTATTACATACATTAACACGTGACCTCAACATTGCATACCACCACTTTCATTTTTCAGCTCCATGTAAGGCTATGAAGGTTTTTTAATAGCCTTTCGTGAAGAAATGTCTTATCTAAAGTGGATTGACTTAGACCCTAAATTCAACTGCTGTAAATTCTACCCTTTTGCCCCAAATGTGGTCTCTGTTTTGATGGATGGATGGATGGATGGATGGATGGTAAACAGAAATATATATAAGGCCTATAATCAATGGAGCAGTGCTGAGGATGAATTAGAGTTTAAGAGTTTGATAGCTTGGGGGAAAAAGCTGCTCTGCAGTCTGGTGTTGTGGCAGCAGAAACCTCTATATCTCTTCCCAGAAGGCAGCAGGGTGAACAGGCTGTGGCTGGGTGGGTACTCTCCTTTAGTATCCTTTGGGCTCTGCGTAGGCAACTCACCTCACTGATATCACTGATGCTTGGGAGATGGGTACCAATGATCCTCAAGAAATATAGTCATTTCTGAGCTTTCTTCACCAGCGTGGAGATGTGAGACAACCATGTCAGGTTCTCTGTGAACCTGAAACTATTTACCTGCTCCACCTCAGCACCACTGATGTAGACAGGAGTGTGTGTCTTTATCTCCTTCTTCCTTAAAAGATCAGCTCCTTCGTTTTGCTGTTGTTGAGCAGTAGGTTGTTCTCTGAGCACCACTCTACAAGATTATGAATTTCCTCCTGATATGAAGTCTCATAATTGTTTGAAATCAGGCCGATGGTGTTGTCATTCGCAAACTTCACAACAGAGATCTCTCCATGTAGGGGGGATGAGTCGTGGGTGTACAGCGTGAACAGGACTGGGCTGAGCACACAGCCCTGGGGGGCTCTCGTGTTGAGCACTAGAGTAAAGGAGGTGTGTCTGCCAATCCAAACTGACTGGAGTCTGTTTGTGAAGAAGTCCAATATCCAGTTGCAGAGTGTTAAACCCAGAGTGCTGAGCTGGGTGATCAGTTTCATGGGGGAAGATTGTGTTTCTGAAATCCACAAACAGCATTCTAATGTCGGTGTTGTTTTTCTCAAGGTGTGTAAGGGCTGAGTGGAGGGAAGTGGAGCTGGTATCCTCTGTAGATCTGTTGGTTCTGAAAGTAAACTGGTGAGGGTTCAGGCTGGCTGGGATTGTGTACAATGTGGACATAAAGATAAAAGCCGTGAGAAAATCAGCAGTTTC